TTCCGTTTCGTGGCATCATAAAACCTTTTGAACTTCATTCTTTTTTGGGTCCGATTGTGGGGCCTGAACTCTGGGCCTGGGCGCTGTCCCTCAGCTCTTCAGCTCAAGGCTAGTGCTCTACTACTTGAGCCACAGCGCCACTTCTGGCTTTTTTTTTCTGCTTATGTGGTGCTGAGGAATAGAACCCAGGGCCTCAAGCATGCAAGGCAAATGCTCTACCACTGAGCCACCTTCCCAACCCCTGAACTTCCTTCTTGTCTGGTGTGATTTGTCACTTTTTTCTTTGTGCTCCTATGGTATTCTGTATATTTTAAAAGAAAATCACGCTATTGCATTATAGTCAGCTTTGGAAAGAGACAACATCCTTTTTGGTTTTTAGTTTCCAAAGCACCCACTACATTATATATATACACATATGTATATACTATAGTATATGCATATATATGTATAGTATATACATATGTATTTGTGGTACTGGGATTTGAACTCAGGGCCTCACACTTAACTTTCTTGCGCATGGCTGGCAACTCTACCATTTGAGCCAAACCTCCAGCCCAATGTTTTGCTGGTTACTTTAGAGATGGATCCTCATAGACTTTTCTGTCTCATCTGACTTTGAACTGCAATCCTCTGGACTTCAGCCTCTTCCTCATAGCTGGGATGACAGATATCTACCACCATTCTGGGTTTGTTTATGAGATGGAATCATGCTGACTTTTTGTCAGGGCTGGCCTTGTGCTGCAATCCTCCTGACTTGTGATGAGCATCGGCTGGTTGCTCTTGAGGATCAGGCAATGGAACCCTATGACTTGCTAGGTGAGCCTGGGTAAGAACACAGCAAGAAAAGTGTGGCTGCTGTGGGTCTGACTCCTCCTAAGCTGCGCTTTGTCCCTCAATCTCTGTCCTATGACCGGGCCAGATGGGTTTTAGAAGCACCCAGTCCCCAGGTCCTGTGCTGGCCCAGATGTCTGACTCCTTCTGGCCTTGGCACCCACATCCTGTCCTCACCTTTTGCCCCAGCTTTTCCACATGGGCCTTGGCTATCTTTCTCAAGTCTGAGGTCTTTCACTGGCAGCCTAATCTGTACCCCATCATCCTACCCCTGGGGCTCCTCCCTTGCTGGGTCACTTCCTGCCACTGACCCTCAATCTGGTGACTGGTACTTGTTTCCTGTTGTGAGATGTCCTTAGTGCTTACTTCTGACGGTGATGGTGGTGAGCAGCTTGCGGTTTCCCTTCAGCCCACCTGTCAATGGCTTCTGACGGGTGCCATTTGTTTATCTGGGCATCCTCTTGTGTTGTCTTCATTTGTAGTTTCTTAATATCACACCTGCAGGTGTTTTGGCCATCACAAGTCCATGAGGGCATTCTGGCTCTGCCTCAGAGACTGACAGCACTCACCATCCGGGCAACTAAACCAGAGCCTAGCTTGGTCTTTGCCTCCGCCTGCCCCCTTGGCAGTCACCTCCCCCCACAACCCCTACCGGCTTATCCCAAATCCCTTACTTCTACATCACATGGTCTTGAATAATGTACTTGTGTTCAGCTCCGTTGCAATCCTGATACTTGCCAAATCTCACCTGAGAGATTACATGCTTATTTATTTCTTCACTTTGTTGTGGTGATGGAGCTTCATACATGCTAACCTTGTGTCCTGTCTCTGAGCTATACCTCTGGTCCCTTACACTGTATCTTTTTTTTTTTTTTTTGCCTCTGTCCCTGAGCCTCTTTGTACTCAAAGCTAGTGCTCTAACATTTGAGCCACAGCTCCACTTCTGGATTTTTCTGAGTAGTTTATTGGGGATAAGAGTCTCAGACTTTCCTGCCCAGCCTGGCTTTGAACTGTGATCCTCAGATCTCAGTGTCCTGAGTAGCTAGCATTATAGGTATAAGCCACTAGTTCATTAACCTGTATCATAATGAGTCTCCTGAATTCTCTCCGGACACCATTTTAGCTTTTCCACACACCCTGCAAACATCTCTTAAAGATGTATTCCCCTCTGGGCACCAGTGGCTCATGCCTGTAATTCTAGCTGCTTAGGAGGCTGAAATCTGAGGATTGCAGTTCAGAGCCAGTGGGAACAGGAAAGTTTGTTAGATTCTTATCTCCAATTGAATACTAAAAAGATGGAAGTGGAGCTGTGACGTAAGTGGTAGAATATTTTCCTTGAGCACAAAATCTCAGAAACAGCACCCAACCCCTGAGTTCAAGCCACCAGACTGGCACACACACACACACACACACACACACACACACACACACAATCCTGTTTGTGTCACATCACAATCCTACTTAAAACTCTTGTCTTGCTTTTAGTAAAACGATCACACTAGAAGAATGTTTGAAACATGACCTTTGAAAGTGGAGCTGTGGCTCAAAGTGGTAGAGTGCAGCACCTAGGTTCAGCACCTGAGTTCAAGCTCCACAGCTGACAAAACAACCAACAAACAAAAGTATGACCTATGAAGTCACGGATTAGTCCCAAGCTACCACCGTAGCTTCCCTTTCTTTCTCTAGCAATGACTCTTTCTTCCCTGCCGTTCTCCCACCCTGGGCCTTGCAGTACATTGCTTCCTTTGCTTATAGTATCGTGCTCTTATGGCACGAGCCTCCCTTCTCCATGCCTGCCTGATGTCTCCCTCTACTTCTCTTAATGTCTTTATGTGCTCTCATGGCTCCCAAATGCCCTCTTTATAGCACTTATCACCATGTTTAATTATATAGGCATGTGATTGTTCGTTAATGTATTTCTCATCCTTGACTCCAGTGAAGTCCAGGGAAAGGAAACTGCTCCGTGCTGCTCAGTCTTACTGAGCCTGGTGATTAAGGTGCAGTCAGTGCTTTATAGGCATGAGTAGATGAAGTGAGTCGCCCCAGCATGACCATGTCCTGTGCCATGTTATTGGCTGAAGGTGATGTATGGACACTAGGTATGATGCTCCATCTCTAACCATGTATGCCCAAACATGAGTACTGCCTAATAAATGAAGAGTCATGAAACAAATGTTCAAAACAGGACCATTGTTTAGTCTTCTTGTTGTATTTTGCTAGATATTATTATTATTATTTTTGGGTCCGGTCGTGGGGCCTGAACTCTGGGCCTGGGTGCTGTCTCTCAGCTCTTCAGCTCTTCAGCTCAAGGCTAGCACTCTACCACTTGAGCCACAGCGCCACTTCTGGCTTTTTTCTTTTTGCTTATGTGGTGCTGAGGAATTGAACCTAGGGCTTCATGCATGCAAGGCAAGCACTCTACCACTGAACCACCTTCCCAGCCCCTTTGCTAGGTATTATACAACATGTACTTCCAGGTTTATTGTGTATCTTTGAACACAAGAGTTCCCCTCTTCATGTTAATTGTTTCATTTTAGTCACACAGTTATTTAGTTCCCCATTGGATTTTCTTTTTTGGCCTTTTTGGGGAATTTGTTGCTGAATTTCATGTTTACTAGTAGTCATTACCTCTGTCCACATTTCTGGTTATATCTGTTTTCTTCTATTTTAAAAGAGATAAAAGATAACCCACAGAGTGGGAGACAACTAGTCAATGGACTATTCAATGGATAATATATCCAGAATATACAAAGAGCTAAAAAAGTTAAACTGTAAGAGAACAGATAACAAGATAACAGAAAACAAAGAATAGATAATCTGATTAAATAAATTGGACCTTTTTCTGAAGAAGTACAAATGGCTATTAGATACATGAAAAAATGAGCAACATTCTTAGCCATAAGGAAATGTAAATAAAAATTCCACTCAGATTCCAACTCACTGTAGGTGAGAATGTGAACTAGTGCCACCACTACAGAAATAAATATGGTATTTCTTCAAAAAATGGAAAATAGACCCACTTATGACCCTTTTATACGACTATTGGACATGTATCTCAAGGAAAGTAAATTCATATATGAGTAATGCTCGAATACCCATGTTTATTGCAACTCTGTTCACAATAGCCAAACTATGGAATCACACAAGGTTCCCAACAACTGCTTGCTGAATAGGTAATGAAAATATAGTATATATATATATATCATGGAATATTACTGTTTTAAGAAAAATAAGATTATGTCACTCATGAGAAAACAAATAAAGCTGAAGATCATCTTGTTGAACAAGATTAGCCAAGCTCAATAAGCAGCATATGCTGTTTTTACACATTTGTGGAACCTAGACTTAAAAGATACACACACTGACATAGACACACAGACACACACACAAACACAGCATAATTAAACTGTGAGAATGGGAGGGAGGAGAGTGAAAGAGAATGACAGAAGACAAATAATATAGAATACCGGTGTGTATACATCTAGGTGTGTATACAGGTATATATCTGTATAGATGTGTATAAGGAATCTCACTGAAAGATGTTGGACAATACAAGGCAAGGAGAGATGGGGAAAGAGAGCAATAGAGAGAGTTAGTATGAATAAATTGTAATATGTATGTACTTGCAAAATACTGTGGTGAAGCTCAATGGAACAATTAATATACACTAAACATTATGAAAAAAAAGACAGGAAAATTAAACTAGCCCTGTTCTGTGGTAGGTACCAGCAGGAGGAGGGCAGGCAAAGAGAGAGGGTGAATGAGAATGAAAATGGTCACAGTACTTTATTTGCACGTATGAAAACAGAACCATGAAACCTGTTGAAATTGTTTCAAGAAGAGGGGAGAGGGGATAAGGGAAAGCGATAGTGGGAATGAGATTGATGTGGTTACCCTGTATGCATAGATAGAAATATTGCAATGAAGCCCATCCTGCTCAATGATATATACTAATAAAAATTCTTTTTAAGTAAGTGATTATTTACTTTTTGTTTGTTTCATTGTAGTGTTATGCTTAATTATTAATGACTAGATCTTTTATTATAAATGTACATGTATTTATATATTATATACTTTTATTTATATTGTGTGTTATATACATATGATATAGAATGTATTGCTTACATAAAACAAGATCCTTATCCTCTTTTGTATTTTTAATACCACAGTGATAACAACCCGTATTCCTCATTTGGAGCAATGCTGGCCCGGGATGATGAAAAGAATTTATGGAGTCTTCCTCATGACGTGTCCCACACTGAGGCAGATGATGACAGAATGCTATACAATTTGATAGTCATTCGTAACCAGAAGGCCAAAGACTCAGAGGTAAGCACCTGTATTTGTTATATTGGACAAAATCCCTGAATAAACAGCTCAAGGGAGGAAAGCTCTATTTTGCTCATAGTTTCAGTCCGTCATGGCTGGGTTGATGTCATGGGGCAGATCAGCTTACATCATGGTAGGTAGGAAGTGGTACACAGCTGTAGGAGGGAGGGGAGAGGCAGGATACAGCCCGTAAGGATAACAAAGACTTATTTCCTCCTTCCAGGCTCTGTCTTCCATAGTTCTACCCCTCCCAGTAATCTGCTCAAAGTTTGGATCCATCAGTGGATCAAACAAGTCCTAAGGTCAGAGATCTCATAGTCTAATTGTCTCTGCAACACCCCATAGACAAGGCTAGGGATGTGCTTTCCTATTTTCCTAAGTGCTTCTCTATTCAGTTAAGTTGATTATGAAGATTAACTATCATGGCACCTTTTGAAATCTGAAATCTGCTGTTGTGTAGATGATACTGGACATTAAGATAAAGAAAAAAAATACTTTATTTTTTGAGATAGAAGGTCCTTGTTTCCCAGGCTGGTCTCCAATTCCTGGGCTCAAATGGTCCTCCTGTCTCAGCCCCCTGGGTAGCTGTGACTAGAAATACTGGGGCCATGCCTGGATTATTCATGGTCTATTTGAATGAACTGCAGATATTTAATATAGTATATTACCACTGGTTACTAATTACAGCTAATCTTGATAGACCTGCTTGATAAGACACATTTCTAATTACTATCTTAACAGTACGAATTACACTCAAGGCAATATTGTTGAAAAGGAGAAAGATGTCTTAAATATCTTAAATAGTCCATCTCCAATCTCTCCAGTTGATTGACAAGCCAAAGTTAGATGATTTGAGTGGAATTTAAAGGATGCTTTGGATTGTCACTAACTGTAAATTAGTGGGGCTTGAATTAACATTTATTTTTGTTGTTGTTAAAGCATCTTAAATTATACTTATTAACCAGTTAGCCTTGGATATGCTGTATTTAGGATAGTTTTTGGGTGGTAAGGCTTGAACCCACTCCTAAGAATTCTAAATCCAAAGTTATGGGTTTGGGAATGATAGAATATTAGGGAGGAGAGGACATTATAAGTTGAAATAATAGAGGGTTGTGCTCCCCCCATTCTCTCAAAATTCACGCTACAATACCACGTCAAGTGTTATATAAAGTCATTCTCCAAATAATATGACCTGAGATCTCTAACCTCTATCAGCACTCCTGGGTAGAGGCCTATATTAAATGCACACTGCATGTTTCTTTGTGTCTTGTGGTAATTGAGAAGAACAAGGAGTGTCAGTACCCATCCCCAATCGCCATCCCCCAGGTTCTGAAGGAACTGCAGCCTACAAACTCATTTATTAATTTTTTAAAAATCTAGCTTTAATTTCATTTCTTCAGAAACATAGTTAAGTAAGAAGTGATAACCTTTTTTTGGGAGGAGGGGATGGGGGCTTTGAACTGAGCTCTTTTGCTCAAGACTAGTGCTCTACTACTTTGAGCCACAACTCAATTTCTGGTTTTCTGGTGGTTAATTGGAGAGAAGAGTCTCATGGACTTTCCTGCTAAGGGTTTTTTTTGTGTGTGTGTGTCTGATCGTGGGGCCTGAACTCTTAGCCTGGGCGCTGTCCCTCAGCTCTTCAGCTCAAGGCTAACATGCTACCACTTGAGTTACAGTGCCACTTCCAGTTTTCTGATGGTTTATTGGAGAGAAGAGTTTCATGGAATTTCCTGCCCAGGCTGGCTTTGAACTGCGATCCTCAGATTTCAGTCTCCTGAGTAGCTAGGATTACAGGCCTGAGCCACTGGCTCCCAGCTAAGGTTGGGTTTTGAACCACAAACCTCAGATCTCTTAGCCTCCTCAGTAGCTAGGATTATAGCCTTGAGCCACCAGTGCTGGGCTGATGTGAGTGATAGTTTTTATAAGTGCCATGTGTTTGGGGTGAAAAGATGAGATGGATGGAGGGACTGGAGCTGCCACTGGGGAATGATGTGGCCTGCAGATTCTTGTAGTGGCTGTTGATACTTAGCATTCCACTAGTGGCTGAGCAGTGTGCTGATGTCTGGCTTTCTCTGTCCCTTGCGCATCTCCTCCTGTGTGGTAACACTGGAAGTAGGTCACAAGGGTGGCTGCTGCCAGGGACAGCTTGTAAAGGGACTTGCTTGACCTTGTTTTCCCAGTATGGAGAGGAGTAATTGCTATATTGCTGGTTAAGAGTCTCATAGACATTCCTACCCAGGCTAGTTTTGAACTGCAATCCTCAGATCTCAGCCTCCTGAGTAGTAGAATTACAGGCAGGAGTTGTCAATGCCTGGCTGGATTTTTTTTTCTTTTAATAAAACAGAGAATTTTGGTTTTGAAAGAAAACCAAATTCTACCTACTAAGGAACAGGGAACCTAGATACTTTTTCATGTTAGAGCTCAGAAGCTCAAGTGAGGTATTAAGGAAATGGAACAACATATTTTTCCTTAAGTAGTCACAGTGGGTTAGAAATTCTCAGAATATTGAGAAATAATTTCACAACGGTGTGTGTCTGAATTTGAATCAGGTAGATGAAGACTGCAAACAGTCCAGGCTGAGTTTATAGTGGTCCAAATTGAAAAACAGAAGAGGTTTTATAGTGAGGCAAATAATAATGGAGAAAAGGCATGAGCTTTCACTAGTTTACAGAGTCAAAAATGTAAAAAGTAATTTTATTTAACTTCATAGTCAGAATTTACTATTTACTCAAGCCTTTAAGAGCTGATGGAAATCAGACCTTCAGCAGAAGAAATGGTGCTCTGGTAGCCAATTATTGTATTCTGTTCTTTTTTTTTGCTGGTCCTGAGGCTTGAACTCATGGTCTAGTAGGCATGCTCTACCCTCTTGAACCATAGCACCTCTTCCAGCTTTTTCTAAGTAGTTTATTGACAATATGAGTCTCTCAGACTTTCCTGCCTGGGCTAGCTTTGAACTTCGATCCTCAGGTCTCAGCCTCCTGAGTAGCTACGATTACAGACATGAGCCATTGGTACCTGGTGCAATTAGTTTATTCTGTTAAAAACTATGGGTTTAATGTTAAAACAGGCAGATTTGACTTATCATTAGAGTGTTGTGTATTCTTTACTGATCCAAAAGGCTAATTTATTTTAGATTGCATTGAATTCTGTGCTAATAAGGTAGGGAAATCTTTTCTGTGTATGTTAGACTCTCTACTGCTTAACACTGTGTAAAACTAGCTGATTGACCTTGACATGTGAAAGAGAATCTCCTTTCTGAGGGTAGATCCATTTCTAGTTTCACAACTATTTCTAGGTCACTACGACAGGAGGGAGACTAGTTGGCTGTTGATGTCAAGTTCATAGCCATGCAATCCCAAGGGTATGTGATTTCTGCCTAATATCAGGTGATCAGGTCTCTAAACTTGACTTTTTCAGGGGTAGAGCTACTTGAACTTTGTAAGTGTATGAGTCAGTGCTCTCTAAAGAAGTAGAAACAAATGATGTATAGATAGATAGGTAGATAGATGATACATGCACCCAGGCATATATACAAACATGCAAATTTATCTTCTGGAATTGGATCACAGCTTGTGGATGGTAACCTGATAGGATAAGCTGCTGGGCTGGAGACTCAGGAAGAGATGCAGAATAAATCCAAAGGCTATGAGCTGGTAGAATTCTTCTTGGTTGGGAGGGGTCAGTCTTTGTTCTATTAGGACCTTCAACTGATTGGAAAATGCATTAACTTCATGGAGTTATTAATCTGATTTACTCAAAACCTTCTGATTTAAATGTTAATCTCATTTTTTAAAAAAACCTTTGAAGAAACATTCAGAATAATATTTGACCAAATATCTAGACACTGTGGCTCAGCCAAGTTGATACATAAAATTAACTATCTCAATGTTCTACTAACACTATCCACAACCTATAGAGACTAGTATATAATGAGTCTAAACATCTGGTGAGTCACCATTTAACAGATCAGTTCAACATCTCCCACGGGATTAAATCTGTAAGATGGGTTGGTAAGAAGGAAAACCATGAAAACAATTCCCTGACTTTTTTTTTTTGGTAGTGGGTCTTGAACTCAGGGCCTGGGGCACTGTCCCTGAACTTTTCTGCTATAGGCTTGTACTCTACCACTTTGAGCCACAGCTCCACTCCCATGTTTTTGTTGGTTAATTGGAAATAAGAGTCACAGACTTTCCTGCCTGGGATGACTTCAAACTGAGATCCTCAGATCTCAGTCTCCTGAGGATTAAAGGCATGATCCACCACTCCCCGGCTTCACTGACATTTATGAAGCACTCACTGTTTTCCAGGAACTGCTCTAAGTAGCTAATGTATGTATGCCAATTAGTTGGATAACTTGGTGCTTTTCTGCCTAGAACAAAGTTGTTTTTCTCCTTTGGTTAGAATTTCCTGTCCCTTGACAATACTAGATGGAGACTTGTGAACATTGCCTTCTGCTGAACTGTATGCTCAGACACTGGGCACAAACAGGGATTGAGAAGGACAGACAGCAGAAAGTGGGGTCAAAAGAAAATCTAGAGTACTGTAACATGGGCTGGATCTGGAGCTGTGAGCAGGGGAAGAATTTTGAGGAAAGGCTCAACTTGAAGAGCTTCAGAAGATTGCATAGTGCCAACAGGTTAGGAATGGAAGGAAAGAGGCACTGGGCACATGGGAGTAGAGATGTCTAGAGCCTGTGGTCCTAGTGAGAAACAAGATGGCCGCAAACAGAACTTCATGCACTGCTAAGGCTCAGCAAGGAAATGAGGTCCTGTCATCCTGCTGGTTCCATGAGACCTCCTAATCATCTACCAAATTAAGTAACTAGCTCATATCTGTTGCCCATAGATAAGTACATTTTTCCAGTTTAGGGTTTGTTCATTTTCTTGATCTCTTAATAATATATAAAGTTCACTAGAACACAGAAGTCTATCTGTGACATCATGAAGCTTGGAGAAATCTTCTGGAATGGAGTGGGTAGCATTCAGTAAAGATTTAGTACG